TACGGCGGTGTCGCAATTATCACCAAGGCTAAAATCACGTCAACCCGACTCAAGATCCCGGGCAGTGGGAGCTCTGCCAGCAGCCTGGAGTCACTGTGGGCGCTGCTAAAGCTTGAACAGGGCCGGCAGCTGATTATCTGCTCCCTGTATCGGCCACCCCGACACAGTGAGGCTGCTCTGCTTGCCGACTTCACGGACCTCGAGGCCCAACTGCAACGAGTTATGATCGATTACCCCAGTGTTCCGCTTGTCATCTGCGGCGACCTCAACTGTGATTTATTGAAAGAGCCTAATTTCCGCGCGCGTCAACACCTAAGCAGCTTCCTATCAAATTACTCATTAGATCAATTAGTGACAACTGCAACATTTTCCTCCGGCTCGCTCCTGGATGTGTGTATTGTTAACAACCGTGAGCTCGTTTGCGACACCCGTGTTAAATATTGTCACTTCAGTCCTCACAAACTTATCGATGTCGTTGTGAATGTGCCGAAACTGCGTCAAAAGCCCACTGTTATCTCGTCTCGCTCCTTTAAGCGTTTAGATCACCCTGCACTGCATCATGACTTACTCGATGTTGACTGGGATTATGTATTCTCCGCCGAAACCGTCAGTGATAAGTGGGATGCTTTCTTGTCTTTCTTCGTACCTGTTTTCGATGCCCATGCCCCAATTAAGCGTGTGTCTATCCGTAATCCGACTGCTCCTCCCGTCTCCGTCGCCACTCGAGATCTCATGTCCCAACGTCGCGCTGCGCTCCGCCATTTAGGCCGCAACTCGAGCGAGTACAAAATCCTTAACCGCTCTGTCCGGGCGGCTTTGCGTCGCGACCGGCGGGTGGAACTACAGAGGGAAATCGGGGAACGGGGCCCCAACAAAGTTTGGCAATGTATCAGGTCGGTGGTTGCCGGTAAGAAGGATGGTCCTGATGTTCAGCCTGACCTATCTGCCAATGACTTAAATTCTTTCTTTGTATCCGTCGGTCCTCGTGTCGCTGCCGAGATACGAGCCCAAAACGCACCTACCGATTTGAATGTACGTCTTACCCGTGTTGGCGCATGCAGTTTTCAACTTCGAGAAATCACACTTGCCGAGCTTGAGCGGACGATTTTCAGCATGCGTAGCTCGGGTGCTTGCGGTACCGACAGTGTCTGCGTTCGCATGCTGAAAGCCGGATTCCGAGCTATTGGTGGTGTCATCCTGCATATTATCAATACCTGCTTAATTCAATCCGACATCCCCGATTCATGGAAACATTCCATAGTCTGTTCAAATCCGGCAATCCTTCAGACCCCGCAAACTTCCGGCCCATTTCCCTGGTTCCTGTAATCATGAAAGTGGTTGAGCGCATTGTCCATCAGCAGCTCTACATCTACCTCTCTATATAGTACAGAGCAAGTAGACTATGAATGTATTAAAAAGCAATTACATATAATAATACATTCATAGTCTACTTGCTCTGTACTATATACTTGTCCAATATATCTACATCTACCTCTCTCACAATCACCTGTTGGCATCCTCACAGCACGGCTTCCGCCCCCGGCACTCTACTGAAACCGCGTTGTTGTCCGTCACTGAACGCATCCTGGCCGCCACCGACAGGGGGGAGATCTCAATGCTATGCCTTCTCGACCTTAGTAAATGTTTTGACGTGATAGACCACGAGCTTCTGATGCAAAAACTTATGCTGCACGGTATCGAAATTTCCTGGTTCGCCGCCTATCTTCATGGACACACCCAGAGCGTGTCGTTGAAAAATGGGTCCGGAAGTAGAGTGCTGTCTCGGCCTCTTCCTAATACCATGGGTGTCTTCCAGGGCTCTGCTTTAGGGCCGTTACTTTTCACCATCTTCTCTAACAACCTATCGCTGTACGCGGGTGATGCAGTAGTCTTTCAATATGCCGACGACACCCAAGTATTGGTTAGCGGTCCTGCCAGGGACCTTGGAGTTCTCATCTCGCGCATGGAGGTTTCGCTCGCGTCACTCAACGAATGGTTCTGCGCTAACGCCCTGAAGGTCAACGGCAGTAAAACACAGCTCATTGTCTTCGGCAGTCGTCAAAATTTACGCAAATTGCCAGATTTCAGGGTATCGTTCCGTGACGCAGCGTTGCAGCCGTGCGCACAGGTGGGGAACCTGGGCGTCACTTTTGACAGTACTCTATCCTGGGACGCTCACGTCTCCGAACTCAGTCGCCGGTGTACGGGACTGTTGATCGGTCTCTCCCATGCGCGCCACAGTCTCCCGGATGGCATCATTAGAACGCTCGTGACAGCACTCGTTATCTCACGCATCCAGTACTGCCTCTCAGTTTATGGCAATGGGTCAAAAAAAATTTCGATCGTCTCCAAAAAATTTTGAACTTCGCTGCTAGAGTCATTTTCGGTCGCCGTAAATTTGCCCATGTCTCTGACCTGCGAAAAAAGCTCGGGTGGCTGTCCCCGCGTCATATGGCTGATTACCAAACCCTTGTTATCACCCACAAAGCCATTCAGCGCGGCGAACCCGTGGAATTGGCAACCATGTTCGTCACAAACAGCGCTGTCCGGGAGAGACACTCCAGGCAAGACCACCTCTTTCACCTTCCGCGACCACGGCTGGAAACGGGTAGGCGGCGGTTCGGCTATCGAGCCGCTGCTCTACTCAAAGTCTCCCAACTCAGCTGTCGCAGCTGTCTCCCGCCCCCTTTGCCCGATCTGTTAAAGCCGCGATAGTGGACGGGGCATCAACTGATCGTCGCTGACCAACGGGTTGGTGGGTGGGTGAGTTGTACCTGTGGTACTACGAAAGTGTCTCTGTCCGTGCTTTGACGTGAGTGAATGTGTGAATGCTGTGAATGTTTAGATTAGTAATCGCGGATACGGATTCTGAGCAGTAATCGCCACGCACTTTTAGAATGTGGATCGCTCATGATTGTTCAATACAATACAATACAAAGGTGACTCATTCGGATGGCTCTCCCTCATATGTTCTCCAAAGGGAGTCTGCCTCGTACGATTGGTGCCGTCTCTAAAATGTTCATCGAACCTGTATCTGACACAGCGCTTTGTTTCTCCAATGTATGTCTGAGGAGGCCCGTCGGCAGCTGCGCACATCATACATGTGATCTGATAGACGACATTTTTCGTTGTGCATCGCCCATGTAGTCCATTGTTACACGTACGGCAGAACTGCTTCCCTGCGCGACAGGGTGGGGGCTCTAAAGCCGAATGTACCAGGCGTTTGGCGAGGGTGTTGCCATTTTTCCACGATGCTGTTAAGCTGGGATTAACAGATTTCAGGGCCGCATCTACTTTCCGGGTCAGGCTGTCACTGATGAAAGGCATTGACACATATATCCTATCCCTACGTTTGGGATGGGCTCCTGTGTGATTACGGTCACTTGTGCGGTTAGCTGTCGGATACTTTTGTCTGTTGTATTGTTTCAGAGCCTGACGCGCTATCCCGTGCAGCCAGCGTGGAGGGTAGCCGTTGGACACGAACAAGTCAAATATCATGTCAGTGCTGCGCTTAGCGCTCTGTGGGTCTGACGAAACCTTTAGGGCTCGTAGAAATTGGGACTTAGCGACCGACGTTTTAGTTTTGAACGGCTGGGCCGAGTCAAAAGGAAGGATGATGGATGCAGCTTCAGGTTTGATATGAAGCTGCGTTTTGTAGTGCCCGCTCGGGCACTACAGGGGCTCGGGCAGTCGCCTTTCTGAGCCGCGCCGAGGTCATGTTCGAGATGACTCCTTTTTCGCTCGATGCACAGTTTAGCCCGGCGCATCGCGACCTCTGCTGCAGCACGACACACGGAAAGCTGCAAACGGCGTACCGCTGACTTCACTGCATCCTTATGATCTTCGGAACTTTGTGGGTGGTTTCGGACTTCGGTACACCCGGGACTTGAGGTGGTCCTATAGGAAAAAGTCCGGTGGGCTTAAGTTCGGGGAATTCGCCGACCAACGGTGTGTCTCGAACCTCGAGATCACGCGCTGCCCGAAACGCTCCCACAGCCCCTCCCGGTTTTCTTTAGCGGTATTGGCGTGGCACCATCTTGCTGGAACCATTGGCATTTCCGGATCTCTGATCATCCTGATATTGCAGAACCCTCCAACAAACGTCGCTGCAGAGCCTGACCATTGACAGTCTGAATAGCGCATCTCTCACACGAGTGGTGTACGCCGTGAGCCTTTGATTGGGTTTACGGCCGCCGCTATATTCCTTGAATTGCGTGAACCTATTTTTAACATTTCATCGAGCCAGAAACTTGTCAATAATGTGGAAAATTTTTCTTAAAGATGGTGCTCTGATTGCCCTGAAGTGTTTGCGGATCTTCCGCTGTGTCGAACCGACCGACTTAGTCTGCGAAAGCAGAATTTCACGAGTTGTGTTTTTCTTCCTTAGACCACGGCCTCATGTTTTAGGCTCAACAACCATGGTATCACATAATTCTACTAAAAATTATCGGATTTTCCACGTGCATTGATTTTGCTTAAATGCTGTTAAATGTTGTCTATTCGCAAAAGAATTCCGTCTAACTTTTTTAAGAAGCCCGGTACCTCCAATCGCGAGTAATCTTTGAGAGCAATCGACTGGTCTTTGTTGCGAAGCGCTACGACGCTTACTTTCGAAACGCCGGGAGGGGGGGCATCGACCCCCCCCCCCCAGCCAAGCCGTTGTATGAAAAATGACCTGCCAGGGCGAGGGTTAATTAGCTTATTTTGGCCTAAGTGTATGTTCACTAACCTCTACGTCTTCGTTACCGTTTTTCCGCGCTCGATGGAACAGCCTTAGACATTAACCCTTTGTGTGAAGAGAAGCTTACGTATTGACCTACCAATACAGACATCTAGAGATCACGAGACTGTTTAAAATCGAACAGTAAGGCAGCGGGAGAGCAAAACATAGCTAGATCTACATGAGGCTTTTATCAATAGTAGCGGGAAAATGGCTGCCGCCAATTAATCAACGGGCGTCCTCATTCCCAATCTCTCCCATCAACCCAACACAGAGGTCAAACAGTTAAGTATACTTTATTTGGCAAAACACTACCCGAAGAGAGCCCCAGATAGAAAGTCACACAATCAAAGATAGATGCGTGAAAAATTGCGGAAACAAAACCACACTTTTCTATACAGCACTGCACACAGCCTGCTAAGAGAGCATCTCCACAGGAGAAATGCCTAAACGCTTATGGATATCTAGCTTGCCTAAACCTTGTCAAATGACAGGTTGTGCTTGTAGTCAGGTTTGCTCTCAGGCCGTTTTCCCAACAAATTGGCAAAACTAACATCACCATGCAAGCCCCATAGATTCAACGACATGTACGCCAAATCAGCGACCGTGTACGTGACGAATCTGCAGCCTTGAAGACGAGATTCCGCGGATAACATCGGTGAAGTCAAGAATCTGCGCCCGGCCTCCGACCTCCGGCATTGCCGTACTGAATGCAGACATGTCTACGCTCTCTGCGCACCAGCATTTGAATATGTTTTTACCAAGCGGCAGCATCGCTCCGAAGTTCAGTTGAAGTTTGCTACATTCAGAAGCGCAGTCGCGCAGGCCTGTTCGCTCTCCGGCGTCCTTCCATGAGCCTGGAGGGCCCGTGTACGGGTCCACATTCTGAGGCGTGAATCCGCAAGGCAGCACGGCTGGGCACAGAGACAAATGATGGTGAGCTTCACTGGTTCGATCATATTACAAATATACCGTTGAAATGGTAACATTTTACGGGGCTGAGATCGAAAACAGTTCCAAAGGTAGCAAACTGAAGTTGCGAAAAGCGTCATTCTAAACTCGCATCGATTGATAGATTTTTATTGAAACTGCTTCTAATGGAAAAGCGAAAACCGGTGATCGAATGTCGTTCCGATACAAGGATGCCGCTTGACGCTTACTTTACCTTAATCTGTTCAAAACAGACTGGTACTTTAAATTAATCGCGCCTCGAATGAAAACTTACCGTTCCCAAACAAAAATCGGCCGTAACGTGTGCCTGGCACCTGCAATGTGATCGTCGAACTTGAACCTGAAAAACAGCGAAGACGACTTCAGTGCTGCTGCTTAGAATGTTCGTAGAGCTTTATACCTGCATTTTGTGGAAGTTAAAACCATTCAAATACATGACAGTTACATCATGTTTTGGGAAGATATGCTGCTATATGCATGGTAGCGAATATTTCGTTGGCTTTTACCATCTTATGCACGAATTTCCTTGCGTTACTTATCCCCCGCCTGTTTAGGGTGGGTGGAAGGTGGGGGGGGGGGGGGGGGGGGGGGCGGGGGTCGAACGGACACCCCCTCGTCTTTTCGCGAAAAAGTCGCCTAAAAAGTGGCCTATCGCGATAAAATTTTAGTACCGTGTAGATAATGAATGCTTTTTTTAATGTTACACCTACTCTGAAAATTTTATAACCCTGACCCAAATGGCCTTTGACCTGTGATCTATTTCTTGATGCCATGTTTGGTCAGAATCGCGATTTTGCGGATGTCAGCTCGCATTAGCCGCGCGTTTGCAGTCTTTTCGTGGTTTCAAGCGTTCATACATGTGATATGATGTTGTTCTCATGCATACAGGTGGGTGTTTAGGTCACGTGAAGGTCATGTAAGGCCATTAACCTTTGACGACCTCGGCTCACTTTTTCGAGTTTTACATGTTCCTAGGCTATATGTTTGGAGCTGAATTCAAATTTGTCAACCACTTGAACATTTGCGAAGTAGTTTTGGTGCCTTCGTAACATGTAACAAAGCTGTCAGAGGCGGATAACATCTACTACAAATACCCGGCAGAATCCCTACTGGTTGCCCTGACCTGACCTGATCCGACCTAGCCCAAACGCATGAAGATATCTCTGTGATCAGCACTAACATGATTTTCGTGATCAGCATTCAGCGCCCCGAAAAACCATAGCAGCCACACTTTACGACGGTCGTCCCGATTTCCCCGACTTTTGGGTCATTGACCTGACCTGGGAGGTCAAACAATGACATAGGATCTTAAAATTCGGTACCATCGGCTTCTTCTCGTCACGGTAAGTACATTCGTTTTTTTTCGTGAAACTCTAGCTCGATCAGGGGCGAAACAGCAAGGAGGGTCCCACGGACCCCCTCCGGACCCTCTCCCTTTGTACGTTCGCGGCTGGCAAAACGCCAATACGGGCGAGGGTTGCAATTCTCAGTTCAATTGTAGCATAAATGCTTACCATCTGGCTTAGGCTGATACTTCGCGAAATTGATCAGCGACACCAGGTCATCGCCTGCCACGTATTGCTGCTGCGACGAGACGCTGCTAGGATCTTCCAGACAGCGGCATGTTTGATGTGACAGCGCCGCTCCGTTGTAGTGAAGCCCGAAACATGTAGTGGCGCACGCCTCTTTGACAATAGCCCGATCCAGGTTGACTCCGGCAGCAGCCTGGACGGCTGCACTACGGGCGAAGCTCGCCGGAATGATCTCTACGGATGATAAAGACAAGATACCGGATCAGTGCCGTTTTTAGTGATCACTCCGTGGGCGACAACAGGGCATTACAGGTTGTTACATCTAACCAACTATAGGAAGCGACAAAATGGAAATCAGGTGCCCATAGAAAAGGCACGATGTCTTTAACCACTGCTGCGATCACGACATCGATACATGGACAATGGACATGATACATGTCTTTTGCTCGTCAATGCAAGATGTCACACAAGTCACACAAGCGCCCCAACACAAGCTCAAAATTATCTGATTAAGAACAGAAGACGCTATAGGAGAATCTCTGGGCCTCGCTAACTTGATAAGGAACATTTGGCCGCTTCTCGGAGAGCGTCACGCGTTTGGGCAAAAACACATACCTACAGACTGTTAACCCTCGCATGTGTAGGGGGGGGGGGTCGGATGGACCCCCCCATGGTTTTTCGCAAATAACTCGCGTAAAAAGCGGCCGATCGCGACTAAACTTTCAGTACCCTCGCATTGATCAATTTTACACCGACCCTGAAAATTTCATGACCCTGACCCAAATGACCTTTGACCTGTGACCTCTTTTCCGAGACCATGTTTGGCCGGAATCGCGATTCCGCGTATGTCGGCTCGCATTAGCCGCGCGTTTGCAAGCTTTTCGTGGTTTCCAACGTTCAAACATGTGATTTGATGTTACTCCCATGCATTAGGGTGGGTGTCAAGGTCAGGTCAGGTCAGGTCATTGACCTTTGGTGACCTCGGGTGACCTCGGTTCACTTTTTCGAGTTTTACATGTTTCTAGGCTAGTTTTTGGAGCTGAATTTGAATTTAGCAACCATTTGAACATTTACGAAGCAGTTTTGGTGCCTTCGTAACATGTTACGAAGCTGTCAGAGGCGGTTGACACGTACTACGAATACCCGTCACGACGCCTACTGGTTGACCTGACCTGACCTGACCCGACCTGGTCTAAATGCTTAAAGACATCATCTGTGATCAAAACTAACACGATATTCGTGATCAGTACCTCGAAAAACCCCTTAGCAGCCACACTTTACGACTTTCTAATAGTTAGGTCCCGATTTTCCCGACTTTGGGTCATTGACCTGACCTGGAAGGTCAACCAATGACCTAGGACCTTAAAATTGGGTATCATCGGCTTCCTCTCGTCACGGGCAACACGCTCGTTTTTTTCCGCGATGCTCTAGCTCGATCAGGGGCCAAACGGCAAGGGGGGGTCCAACCGACCCCCCCCCCTACACATCAGAAGCTGGCAAACGCCGCACACATGCGAGGGTTAACTGTTAACTTAACAAAACTTATTTCCTCTGCACATACCGCCGTTCAAGATAAGCCTGTAGACTTCTGGCGTCATCCAGAACGACTGGAAGCTTGCGTGACCTGCAAAGAAAGCCAGGAAGTCAAACATCCAGAGCAGTCTGCATTGCGTCCCGACTCCCCAGACTAGTGCATTTATGTTATAAAGCAATTTTTGACATAACAATCTCGGGTGAAAATGCAACTGCTTTTAGAAATACTTCAAACGGTCGCAACGTAAGTGGTGCTCCCAGATCATTCCTGTTTATTGTACTTTTTTAACAGTCTATATACGACCTACATGATGTGGCAATCCTTTAATGGATGGCACGAACACTTCACTTACCAGGCTCAACATCGGGCGGTGGCATGGGAATCAGTTGGATGACCTCCACGAATCCAACGGTATCCGGCACGGACGTATCGGTCAGGCCTAGTGTTTCACCTTCGACGATCTCGCCACACTGACATGGCATGTCCGAATTATTCGGGTCCCAAACGGCCACGTCACATAACATCAGCGTTGCAGAGCTGACACATTTGGCCGGCTGTGCGCTGCTAACGGGCAGGAGCCGCAGTGACGAAGGAGCGGACTGGGTGTAGTAGACCGTCAGCCCGGATGGAAATGATGTACCTGAGGAAAAAAATGAAGGAACAAGCACTTTAGTTTGATTTGCGTTGCATTCATTCTCATTTGTAAAATTATGGCTTATCGAGCAGCCTTGTACCTGGGTGCAACAATGTTTTGCTTATCGCGCTAATAATGCAGTCACTAACAATGTTCGGACAAGTAGCTTGATCGATGCATCATTCAGAAATGACAATACCGTTTTCTTACCTGGCATCGTTACGGTAAATGCGCGGTAACCATTTTGTATTCCTGTCGATGTCACGACAAGACCATTGCTGTGAGTGACCGTGTTTTCCGATCCTATCTTCATGGGACTGATATCCAATATTTCATATTCTCCCGGCCCGCTAGGGTATTCCCGGCTCAGCAGACTCATGTCCACAAGAGACGCAGACCAGCAAGATGTGACATCATTCATCGTTTGCACCATCATGAACAGGCCGTCGCCTTGGTAGCAGGCATCTAAACATTCAGAAACGCTCAAGTGGCCCAAGTTCTTCCAGTTCCCGGCGGGCTCAGATCCGCTGAAGCGCACCGCGAGTGCCTCTGTAACGTAAGGACAAAGGTACCTCTGATGAGAACGAGGATTACAAGAAAAGTACGATTGGCAATCTAGCAGCAGCTTGATATTCGCGGATCTGCTGCTGATAGACAGGTATTCGATGTTTCCGAATATGCTGATACTGGCATGAAATAAAAGCTAACCTTTACTAATCCCAGACACATTTTTCCGGCGTTTTTCAGCATATGAGCAGGCAAAAAGGTGAGATAAAGCCTTTACAGCCTTTTTAGCCATATATCTGTGTTTTTGGCTCTCGCCTAAGGACAAGTGCTAAGTTTTTCTTATCAAATAACATCGAAGTTTTGAATAAATTTGGTCTAAAATGGCTAAACTTAGTCTGTTCTTGGTAGGGCTCACTTTGATTTCATATCAGTACCAGCATATTCGGGAACGATGAATATCTCTCTAGCAGCAGCGGGCACGCGATTATCGATCTGCTGCAAGGTTGATTAACGTAGAAATTTCGGCATAAATTTTGGCCTGGCATGATTCAGAGACAGGTATGCATTGCATGTTTTCTAATTTAGAAATACAAACATAAAAAACTGCTGGTAGATCCAGGCAGACTTATCATAATCTCATGAATTGCTAGTCACTTAATTGAGCATATAAGGGGTCTCACATACATACTGTATTGCTAGCAACTCGACAATGTTTCTCGGTGCACTTTCATCAGACAACGGATTTTCAAACAAATCCTTGAGCTTCGTTGCGATGTTGCATGTAACTGTATAACAAGTATGCTTAAAGACTTACTGTAGTTGACGATCAAACGGAAGTAGCCGGCAAACAGGTCGTACATCGTATAAGATAAACCTGGAACAAAACAAAGTAATCCATAAGCAAATAAGATGGAGTTTCAGCAACATGAAGACTGACTACCGAGGGCACTCGTAGTCAGTAAGAGCACAAGGACGAAGAACTGCTTTTGACTCGGTACACAAACCTATCTGTAGAGACCGTAGAGACCTGTGTCCTATGTTAGCCCGCGCTCTGGTGGGGTCTGTTTATAGCGCGACTTGGTGGGGGTGGGGGGTATTCCCCCCGTATCTCCGAAACTGCTGGACGGCTCCGCAAAATTCAAACGGCGTTCGAAAGCCCTTACAAATTTGTCGAAAGAGACCACATTTCATTGACCTCAGAGTCACCGATGACGTCACAGGTCAGGTCAAAGATAAAATGTTTTGCCGGTTACGGGTCTTCTAGAGAATGCGCTATAACATCGAGTAAAACGCATTTTTTCCGAAAATCAGCGATAGGGCGTCAGTTGCCTAGTACATAGTACATATGATAGGGCGTCAGTTGCCTAGTAGGTACATATGTTGCTATTTAAGGTCACTGATAATACCAGGTCAGGTCACAGGTCAGCTCATCAAGGGTCAGCACATGAACCCAATTTTACTAGGGCAGTGTTATGTATGTTATGGTGAATCTTTCATTTCAAACTCAATAGTTGTAAGGCCATCAGGAACGGTTTAGGTCACTTCCTGGTGGAAGTCAGGCCAATGTCAGGTAAAAAATCAAATTCTTAAGTGGATACTTTTGCATAATATGGTTATTGATCCGATGCAGCTCGTCACGGCGAGTCTAATGGTGGTCTTTGTTTGGTGCTACGTTCTCTAGAATTGCTAAAAATGGGATTTGAAAATTTGACATTATCAACATTCAACAGTTTTTTCCGTAAAACTTGGCCAACAAAAAGAGGCATCGGTCTAAAATTTCGTATGTGGCTAGAAGTCGGGAAGGGCTACCTTATATATTCCTTTTTTTGGAAAATCGAAGATTTTTTGGACTTTTTTGGCAGTTTTATTCTTTTTTTCTATTTTTGGGGTCGAAATTAAAAAAAATCGAGATAGCAGTTTTGTAGACCTGGTACTTCTCCAACTTTTATGTCTTAAACGTTATTCTGGATCTTCAAAGCTATACCTAGGCCTGACAGGTCTTCCCACGAAACGTTTTTTTTTGTCGAAAACGGTAGAACATGACGTCACTCTGACGTCATTTGCGGCCAACCTATCATAGCCTTTGGAAAGATTTTGGTCACAATGTGTAAAATTGATGCCTGGGAGGGTACTGAAAGTTTGGTGACGATCGGTGCAGCGGTTGTGGAGATATATCGAAAAGTCTGGAGGTGGTGGCAAAAAATAGTCCCCCCCAACCAGAGCGCGGGTTAGAAATCAGAGAGCATCTCGACACCACGCTTCTGTTTCCTTACTATTATCGCACCTACCACTCGGCCGCGAGCTGGAAGCCAATAAGTACCTAAGGATCATAAAAAAGAAAGGAATGATAAAGGGCCCCACGTTGGGCGCCTACTTGCAAAGAGAGTCGATCTCTTCATTCATTGGGCAAGCATAACACCAAGCATAGTCTTATCCAACCACTTTATTTCTATGATGTCTTGAGTCCATTATAATAAAATTCCGGGACACAAACTGGAGTCCAACGTGGGGCAAGGATGGAGCAAGGATAATTTATTAAGATTGTTTCTCACGAAGTGAGTAGAGACAATTTTAACCTTAAAATCCTCGCACTGCCAAGTAGCCCCACATGGGACGCCATTCAGTGGCATAGCAAATTAATAATGAAGACAAGGTGAAGATGAAGAGGAAAAGGATAGCAATCCGTGGTATCCTTGCAGTAAGTTGAAAGCAACTTATCTTCAATCCCCCGTACAACATTTGCTAAGTGTGAGTCATGATAGACACTGACTTGATTTCTTTGGCTGCGTTGAAAGCTTGAAACGCTAGATAGAACTACAATGCCATACAGAAGGTAAGTGGATACTAAGAATACCATTACTATGACATGTAAGAGTTCCAAAAGGCTGCCACTTCCTAGAGGCTGCAAATGCCCAGTGTCCTCGCAATCCTGCTGACACGCATGCTTCTCATAATAAAAAGAATCGTTTGGGTCTACTTATGAGTTCCACCAGCGTATCAGGTAAGTAATAAAGTCACACGAATGTGCTGATTCTCTGAAAGAGATTTAAGGGAAAAGTAATGGATTACCTTCGAAGTCTGCGGGAGGCTGCATGGCGCGGAGTTGGATCACTTCCATGTATCCGGCGACGTCCGGCACGGAGGTATCGGTCAGTCCCAGAGGACCGCCGTTGATGAGTTGGCCACACTGACACGGCTTCTCAGACTCGGACGGGTTCCAAATGGCAACATCGCACATCATTCCCATGGCAGACGCGACACAATTGCCCGGATAATGTTCAGTCATGAAGAACAGCTGTAGCGAGGAGGGTGCAGACTTGGTGTAGTAGACCGTCAGCTCAGATGGTTCCGATTCGTCTAGAAAGAATTAAGTCGTAAGATCCAAGCGAAAAAAGTGCGACCAGACTTATGCCAGGTCCCAGAGCTTGAAGCTCCCAATAAGCATACAGAACCTTAATTGTATAACTCCCATGCACATTAAACATCCGTAGTAGATAAAGACAATAAATGCACATGTCGACTAGGTTCAGGCTTTCCACAAGTCTGTTCTCCCTAACCAAACATGAGAGGTGACGTTGCAGAAGTAAGGGCTGTGGAGCCCACTGTGCCTCACCTGGCATCTTAACAGCATATCCACGATAGCCGTTCTTGATTCCTGTAGAGCTAACATTAAAGCCGGCGCTGTGCGTAACGGTGATTTTTGTTCCTATTTTCATCACGCTCAGGTCTAGCACCTGATATTCTCCCGACACGCTGGGAAATTGCTGTCTTAGGAGACTCATGTCCACAAGCGGTGCCGACCAGCAGGACGTCGCGTCATCCACCGTCCGCACCATCAGGAACAAGTCGCTCTCCCGTGAGCAGGTGTCTATGCACTCCGAAATGGTCATCTGGCCCAGGCTAGTCCATGCTCCAGCGGGCTGAGACACACTGAAGCCAGCCGGGACGATATCTGTAAGGGACCGACCGTAAGAGACGCCGCTAGCCAAAACAAACAACAAAACGCAGCCAGTTTTACTATAATCTAGAGCATATCGTATTATACGTATTCTAAGTAGGTTAGAGTATCGCTTTCTACCAAAAACCGATTATAAATGATTGAAGTTTGTTACTCAGTTCCGATATTTTCATGGTGCAAAAAGTTATCATATGGGTGCGACCATTTGCTAGAATTAAGCTAGTCCTATGAAAATGTATGATGTTCATTTAAGTCTTTTGCGATCAGAGTTCAAAGCCATTTGCATTGAAAAACTATAACTGCCTTTTCACTAAATCTTACCATTATTTACAATCACACGGTAGTAGCTTGCAATGAATTCAAAGACTGAGTAGGAAATCGCTGAAAAGAAAGAAAACTTGGTAAATGATCATTCAGTCAAATAAGCAAATTCATGACGAAAGCAGTAGTAAGTTTGGGGCGTCGCTATTGCGGGGTCAGCGCCTCCCCCCGCATATGAAAATTGAAAAGTGAGGGTGCTGGCACCCATCCCCGAAGATCAGACGGTCGGTAATTTGAAATTTGAAGGAGAGGCATATTTTCTTTTTTTAAGGATCTAGGAGGACGAGGAAGACATATCGTCTTCCTCGTCCACCTAGATCCTCCTAGATATTTTTTTCTAACCAAAGTGACTTTGCAAGCATTTACATTATACAAGAAAAAATTATCCACATGAATACATTGTTTGTATCATCGCCACCAATGACAGCACAAGAGTTAAACATCATTCGTAGTCTCCCACTGTTCATTTTCCGAGGATACTACTCAAGAGTATGTTACTTACCAGTCAATTCTCCTGCAAGACGTGGCATAGCGCGGAGCTGGATCACTTCTAAACTGCCACGTTCACGCGGCACGGAGGTATCGGTCAGTCCCAGGGGGCCGTCGTTGATGAGCTGGCCACACTGACACGGCTTCTCAGGATCAGACGGGTTCCAGAGAACAAAGTCACACCTCATCAGGGTGGCAGCGCTGACACAATCTGCAGGACGGTTCTCGCTCATCGGGTACAGCTGCAGCGAGGACGGCGCAGACTCTGTGTAGTAGGTGGTGAGCTCGGAGGCATCGGCGTCACCTTTGGAGACAGAAAATAAACGCTTGTGAAATGTTGCAAAAAGTTATGATTAAGTCCCTACGTGTTTGTCCTTACATTCTGTGAATGCATGTGATCGCTTTTTCGTATTTTTCAAATGTCATATTCAAGCAAGTCACTGCTGGAGTACCTAACTTTACATGTTTAGCAATAAAATTAGATTATCCCACCCCCATACCTAGGCATAGTCCGTCTTTTAGAATGTATGGTATGAGTCCTTAGATATCATGTTTGTGATTCCATAAAGCCCTCGACCCACATGTGTAACTGAAACCAGCCTTACGGTGGTGACTTGTGAAGGTGAGCAAAGCAAAGACGATCAAGTCGTCCGCCAATGACAACGTGAACGCCAAGCTACACAAACTTCTTATAATAACAATATGCTAGATCCTAAAAATTTATGGAGCATCTCTATTCAGAAATTTAGGTTTCTTACCCGGAAGTCTAACTGTAAATGTGTAGTAATCATTTGCCAGGCTGGTTGATGTAACTTCAAAGCCATCTTGAAACTGGACTGAGGACACGACTCCTATTTTGAGTTCGCTGATATCCAGCACTTGGTATGCTCCGGCCTCGGTGGGGTATTCCTGGTCCAGGATGGTCAGGTCGGCGCTGGGCGCACACCAGCAGGACGTGACGTCGTCCACAGTATGCAGCATCATGAACAGGTTGGAGCTCTCGGAGCACGTGTTGAGGCAGTCGTTGACGTCCCTCGGACCCTGGTCCTCCCAGGCGCCAGGCGGCCGGGTGGCACTGAAGCCGGCTGGCAGCCACTCTGTGTCGGACAGAGATGAAAAGGTTAATAACTAACCATCCATGGCGAAGTTATTGATTGGTTCCGGATATAGCAAGTAGTACCTAAAGAAAAGTAACAATTTTACAGAGTTTAGGGTGCAGTGTACACTGTGTTAACTTAATTTTAGCCTAAATTTCACTAGTTGCATAAATACCATTTCAGCCCTTAACTCGTATTTCAGCAGTTGTACACAAATATATCTTGTCACGGAAACTTGTGCGGTATGGATTTTCCCCACATAAAACGCCTGGTTACTTACTGTTGTTCACTACGACACGGTAGTAATTATTTGGTATGTTATAGATGGTGAAGGAAATCACTGAAACGAAAAAAAAGACACACGTTACAAATTCCAATCGACCAATATGCACAATGACCATCGTCTCTTTAACCCTCGCCCGCACATGGAGAGAGGGTGCCACCCCCAGGTTGTTGTTTTTTTTTTTTTGACCTGCACTAAACATTTTTTTACCCTCGCCCGCACATGCCATTGGCATTTTCCCATCCTAGAACGCACATGGGGGGATGCCACCCCCGCGCCATTTCGTTCCTGTTGAAGATAGAGTTTCGCGATAAAGACCAAAAAGATTCTTTGGGTAGAGACGAATCCAATGATACCCAGTCATTGACCTTCCAGGTCAGGTCAAACTAAAAAATGTTGCTGTTTTGGGTCACCGTTGGTTATCAAGTGCGCTGTTCGTCATACACCGATGACGCTGCCAAATTGTTTTTGGGATCTCCGCTGTTCCTAGCGACTTATTTGGAAGCAATAATTTGGCAGCCTCGAAGTGCGGCAGACGTTGCGCGCAAAGCAGTGTATACCACCACGTGTTAACGATGGTTTTAGTCTAAGATTTAAAAATCGTTTGATCTCCGCTGACATCACAAATTCTAAGGGGGCATTCCAATGCATTAGCCCCTTAGAATCCGAAAACTGCAAGTTTGAAATTCCATATCTCCGAATTAAAACATTTTTCGAGTGCCCAAACCGGTAGGGGAGAGTGGGGTAAGATGCCCAGGGTGGGAAAGACGCCCCACCCCCTCTAGCGGCGAAACAAAGAATCGAACCTGGAAATTAATGTTCTTAGCGTAAAGCGGAAGCCTGCCTTGTTAACTGCACAAAAATTTGCGAAGCTCAGTTGGGCAACGGCTGGCTGGTGATTGCATGTTTTTTATTTGCTGCTTTCAAAAAATATTTTGGTGTCAAAACATTGTAAATATCAAAGAAGGTAGATAATTTTTGCGTCCCTTGCTATAGTCGTGATACATTAACATGCTTGTACTGTGTCCCAAACAGTTTGTTTCAGGGTGTAGTTTTATGGCTAACAAATTGTACTGATTTAATGTTACTTCGGTACCTTGGGGTAAGATGCCCCCTGTCCTGATGGGGAAAGACGCCCCCTAAATCCGTAGGCTTTCCTTCAAGCAGCCCGTCAAATCATTTATTACATATTTGTGATGAGAGACAAAAGCCGATCTGGGACTATTGGGAGTCCAGTACGGTCGGGTGCTCCCCATGCCAGTCTCTAGGCCCACACAGCGACTTTTTGGGCGGCATCTGACTCTGAGAGCCCTCACGACGGCCTCTGTGGGCCCCATTATTGGCTCCAAGGCCCCTCACGACATCCTTTGAGGGCTCCCACGTTGGCTCCACGGGCCGCGCTGGCATCTGAGGTCCCCACGATGGGCTCGAGGGCCCTCAAGCATCATGAAGACCTATAAGGGCCCCACAGCGGTCTCCGAACGCCACCACGGAGGCTTGTTTGGCCGCGCTGAACTAAGCTGGCCCTAACGATGACGTTTGGTGTCTACTGCAGGCTCGAAGGGACTACTGATTCGTTCAGGCGATTCACGTGCCCATTTATGTCACTTATAGTGCAGGGGGCATCTTACCCAACGCCAGGGGGCGTCTTTCCCACCCTGTGGGGTAAGATGCCCCCTTTCACTTCTTCAGGAAAATGCTTAATAGCAAAAAAAGTTATCATAGTTCAGGCACGAAATTGTGATATTTTTGGAGAAAAATGATGTCGGCTTCTGTTGAAACTCCAAGTTTTTGCCTTCCGATCGTCATTTTCGAATAATATATGACATAGTAAAACCCTGGGCATCTTTCCCCACTCTCCCCTACCTATTTGCAGGCCATGGCCACCAAATTGGCTTTCTCCACTCAAAACTAATGTTAAGGTGGGATGGTCACTTTAATGCACTCGATTCACTCCTGCATTAGCGCACTCGTGCTCCAAGCTTTTCACGCCGTGCGGTAAGCCCATTAACAAACGGGAAACTCGTGTGTCATTAAATATGAGCTGTTTCGTATTAGCTGTTTCCTACGCAGTACCTACATATGTACAGTTCGCTTCAATCGAAACTTGACTTGAAAAGCTTAGTGCTTACAAGAATTGATCATATAGGACAGGTCCCGCGGGTTTTAGCGGTAGGTTTTGCACCTATAAAATTTAGTGTACTTCAGGCTATATCTTCGTCGTCTTAACCCGGCGGCCGCTGGGCCTCTGCGCCACCCGCCGGCCGCTGGGGGGGGGGGGGGCATATAGTTGCCCCCTTTACGTCTGCGACGATATCGTCGCAACGCGAAAAGATAGAGAAGCGAAATTTTGCACACATTTTTCTGAATACCTATCCGACGTTGTGTCCAAATTGTATTGTATTGTATTGTATTGTATGGTATTTACGATCATGGGCGATCCACACATGGTTGATCTAATTTGAAATGACGTCTCTCAGTTTCCTCACGAAATATCAGATACGTGGGACCGAATATAAGGGGCCGATTACTGGTCAGGAACTAGATGGAAGTGTACTTAGATGTTTTAGGATGACAACAGGTGCTGTCTAGTTCATTTACAGTTGAGTTTCATGCATGTTTCATGCGACATCAGAAACGGTCCATATCGGAAGAAAACAAAACTTTATGACGTCACTGTGACGTCATCTTAAGTGCTACAACCACTAAACTTTCCTCAAATATTGCCTAGGTATACTTACTTATTTGAAGCTATGCCAAGTTTCACGTTCGTAGCTCATCAGGTAGGTATCGGAGATTTCCCACAAAACGTAAGGGGGCAACTTTATGCCCCCTCCCAGCGGCTCGTGGGTTAATTAAGCTTTTAAGTGTTCAAGATGCGATCGACTTGTTGGTTCACAGGCCGGCCATGATCGTGTAAAATGGCTCCATCGTAGATCGATTAGTTTCTGAGATATAACCGAAAATGTAAAAGTGCAAAACCTACCGCTTAATCTCGCGAGAGCCGTACCTACGAGTAGTAAAAAAATATTGGTACCTACTGCATATATATCGGCATATCAAATGCTCTTTGTAAAGAGTACCTATCATAAACAGCATATAATACAAAGTAAACTGAACTGGACTGGTGACAAAACTCTCAGCACTTCTAAAAAAACGCGGTTCAGTCTAAACAAAAAATACGAACCAATGCTGATAAATCTACTTCCCTTAATCAATTCAGCCTACCTGTGGAATCTCCGGGCTCCGACTTGGGCTGGAACTCTGTGATGTCGTACAGAGACACGCCGGCCGTCTCGTCATCGGAGAGCGGCAGCTCGGTGCTGGGCAGGCACATACACACGTCCTGTGACACCACCACCACGAAGAAGCCCATGTAGAGACATGAGTAGGCGCAGTCCTCGCGGTTCGCCGGGCTGTTGTCGGGCGTGAACGATCCCTTCACGGAACTCAGCAGACTGGGATCGACAAACTTTGGCTGTTGTACCTCTGAAAGCGGAGGACGGAATTGGCATGTAAGCTTCTAGCTTATGCATTCCAGAAAAAAAATCAAATTAGCACAATATTAAACCCTAAGCTTTCTTTTGCTGTCATGGGCCTTACAGCAGTAGTTAACTAAATAAATAAATAATAACTAAATAAATAAATAAATAAATAAATAAATAAGAAAATAAATAAACAGATAAATAAACGTGCTTAGGGACGAGGACTGTAGCAGTCAAGACATTATCGTAAAGGAGGATGCTTCGCTTAGAGATTCTAATAATTTGTATGAAATATTGCAGAGAATAACAATTGTTTTAACAAAACGGTCCCCAATAGCCAACTTACTTCCGTTGACCACCAGTGCCATACTTGTCGGCGACAGGAACATGCAATGCATCTCTACTGTATCTGAAACATAACAAAATGCACGGTGACTATAAAAAATTGCACATGTATGAATGCATACAGCCCCGTGTATGTACAGCACCGCACGTGATTGATAACACAACACGGCACTACACGCTGCTGTTTCATCAAGTGGAAACATCACCGCCAATTATGCACATCATGCCAAGACGAAAAACAATTGTGATTGACGGAACACGTGTTTACAAAGAGCAATTAAAGCTACGTTAACCCGGCGGTCGCTGGGCCTCCGCGCCACACGCCGACCACTGTGACGTCATCTTATAAGCTACAACCACCAAACTTTGCTCAAACCCTATCTAGGGATTCATTTGAAGCTATGTAAAGTTTCACGTTCGTAGCTCATCAGGTTTCGGAAATATTCCACAAAATGTAAAGGGGGGACAACTTTTTGCCCCCCAGCGGCTCGTTGGTTAACGATAAGTGTAATGTGGTATCGTCTCACTTGGCTCGTAGGTCTTGGTAGGCGGCGCGGGCAGCAGGAACATCTGCCAGAAGCCCGGGCTGCTGGCCGGCTCCTCGGCAAGCTGCAGCGACGGCGGCTCGCTGCCCTCCCTCTCCATGCAGCACGAGCACTTGAACGCGCCGTCGGCGGTGGTCTGCTGTGCGCTGTAGCGGAACCCGCTGGCGTAGCAGTACGGGCTGCAGCCGTAGCGGTCCTGGCCCAGCAGCGTGTAACAGAGCAGCGAGTCGGGCCGCTCGGCCACGAACGACTGCGGCACCCTCCGAGACTCGGCCGTCACTGCCGGAGGGGGCCGTGGTCGGTGGTCAGAGCGGCCTCGCCGCTGTGCGCTGCACAGCACTGGGTGACACCTTCTGTGTCGACAATTGGCAGAACGAACCAGCGTTTGATTGAACGAATAACACCAATATGGGAAATAATAGCTAGAAAAGAGACGCGCAGAATCCATGAGTAAAACAGTTTGAAGCTCAACGGTCAGCAGCAGCGTACCTGGCCGCTTCAGTGTCAGGTCGATGTACTGATAGGGCTCCTGCGTGGCCTGGAACTCTGCCGTCCGAACGCCGTCCGTGTGGATCTCGACATAGAACCTCTCTCTCATGGTGCTCGTGTGGATGATCTCGATGTAGCCGGGTTCCGATGGCACCGATGACGTCAGACCGGTGACGTCAGCGCTGGGAGCGCACCAGCACGCCCTGCGGAGCGCACGGCGGGCGGTTTAGATAACGCGGAGGTCGGACGAGCCAAGGGGGAAATTCATTGACTGCGAAACACTGGAAGGAGCGTACATTGCTGGATCGCGAAATTGTGACAGAAAATCACGCATGGCGATGTGGTAAATCTTGAGCGATGTGGTGAGTCACTTTATGAGTGGGGAGTCACTCCGAGCCGCGGTAAAGAAGGGTCACTTACGGCGTATCGCCCATCCGGAAGGCCACCCACGGCATGCCCATGGTGTTGCACTTGTAGATGCAGCTGGTTTCCGGCTTGCTGGAAACACTCGTCAGGACCACCAGCTGCCACAGGCTGCCGGTCGGCTGGTCGCCCTGCACGTAGTACGTCTCCATGGGCGCTGCGGCGAAGGTGAGTCGGTACTTCGTTAGGTGCACAGGCGTCGTAATGGCACATATTTTGATTTTTTTAGCCGAACGTGAACACATTTTGTGACTGCCATTATCATGAACATTATTACGTCTCTTGTTCTTTTTTAGGGTAAAAGTTTTTATGGTCTCACACTAATGATTGTTAATTTTACATGTGAAACCATTTTACTGCAGCAGCTTACCTTTAGTTCCATCGTCGCCGGTATATTCAACTTGTGGGTAACCGTTTACGTAGATAATTGTCCAGCGAACCGCTGAAACAATGGCATAGGTATATGGGAATGAAATAATAATGTGCAAGAAAACGCAGTGCCATACCTACGATGCAATGCTGATGTAATTACACTTAGCAACAAGCATCACGCCAGAGAAACACCTGCAGAATGCAGTAATTCATGCAATTTTTCCAGTTCCGTGCAAAAACAAAAACTTATTTTCAGTGCAGTACAATTAGGTACCCTCCGCATTTTTTGTCATGCATAGATCTGTTGAGCAGAGAGGGATTTTTAATTATCAAAGGGGAATTTCCACCAGCTTGACACATCGGTTGAAAAATGAACTACTGAAACACTATTCGGGACGTGACTTACAGTGAGTCGTCAGAGGTGATATATCGACCAGTTCGGCCTGCACATCCTCAGGCTGCGGTGTAAGCGAGGTCAAGTCTTCTTCTGTCAAGGTTTTACCGACTGGATAGTAATATTTCCTGTGAAAACAGCAATAAAGCTCAATAGTTTTGATTGTATGTACTTACCTATAATAGGTAAGCATGTTAACATTTCCAGAGAATATGCCTGAGCATTGCATGGCCCATGCCTTAAACTGTATGGACCAATTGCACACTTGCCTTGCACCATTCGCAAATTTTCGGGGTTTTATAATGCAGAACAATTTTTTTCTTAAAGTTAACTTGATCAGTTTCTAAGCTTTTGTTAGTTACATAATGTTAACTCTGTGGTAAATATATCACGACAGGATGGTTTTGTGGTAAAAATGGCACGGATTGCTATATGCAGGCATCGCAGTTTGGTAAGGAGTTGCAAATGAAATGAAAAAGCAATAATTGTTTCATCCTTAGCAAAGCTCATGCTTAGTTTCCCTTGCAGCATCATTGAAAACCACATACAATACGGACATACTTTCGCAAGGGAAGAGTGAGCATTGATTTAGTCCAGAACAGCCTTACATGTCCGGAGTTAGGATGAGTTGGGTCACGCGGTGGGTAATGAGCCAGAATATGGCGTCTTCTAACGTAGCCGCCGGTACCAGGCCCCAGCTGATTCCTGGCGTACTGAGCGACCACGAAATGCTTCTGGTTGGCAGCGGATCTGTGGAAAATGACGCCATATCCTGGAGTAAGCAGCAATATTAATTCAAATTAGTATCATGATTTGTCAGTAGAAAACAAGGTGGTTATTTCTGTCCGCGACAATTTGAATATTTGCGAAGTAGTTTTGGTGCCTTCTTAACATGTTACGAAGCTGTCAGAGGCGGTTGACACCTACTACAAATACCAAGCAGGACCCCCACTGGTTGACTTGACCTGACCTGACCCTACCTGGCCTAAATGCATGACATCATCATCTATGATCAAAACTAACATGATATTCGTGATCATCACCCCGAAAAAAACTCATGGCAGCCACATTTTACAACGTTCTGACACTTGACAGCTCCCGATTTTCCCGGCTTTTGGGCCATCAACCTGACCTGGAAGGTCAACCAATGACCTAGGACCTTAAAATTGAGTATCATCGGTTTCCTCTCATCACAGACAACACGCTCGTTTTTTTTTTCCGCGAAGCTCTAGCTCGATCATGGGCCAAACAGCAAGGGAAGGGTCCATCGGACCCCCCCCCCCTCTTATACGTTTGCGGCTGGCAAAAACACCAATACGGGCGAGGGTAATAGAACCTCATTTCATAAACCTTAAAGGGACCCTCCCACCTTAACATTAGATTTGAGTTAAGATAGCCAAAATGGGGTCCCTGGCTCACAATTACCGGTTTCGGCACTCACAACATCGAGAAATGCCTTAAATCGGAAATATTGAATTTCAAAATTGCAGCATTTTGATTCAGAGGGGCTAAAGCTTAGGAATACCCCTCTGAATGTGTGACGTCAGCGCAAATATCTAACGATTTTTAAATGTTTGACTAAAACGTTTTGTAGCACGCGGTGGTATATGCTATTTGCGCGCAACATCTGCCGCAAACGCCGCACTTCTAAAATAAAGTCGCTAGAAACAGCGGAGATCCCAAAAAAGTAAGCAAAAGTAAAAGTCTAATATCTTGAAAACCGGTGAATATTTTTCGGTGAAATTTGGTAGATATTCGTTTTCGCTCTTTCTGAACCGAGCGACATCACTTTCATGCCAATTCATAAACTTTTTTGAAGGTGGGAGGGTCCCTTTAACAGAAAGACTTGAATGCGACGAAGGCATAACGGAATGATCAGGCATGAAACAATAAAAAAGCATTTGGTTGCCGCAAATTTATCTGATTGAATTGCGTCATGGATGTTGTAAGATACCTGTCTACATACCACATGCCCTCCTAAGCACACGCAGCATACATTGAACATCGCGAACCTTTGTTAGAGTAGATGACGGGAATTCCTTCTGAGTTCACTATCACCCGGAAACCTGAAAAAGAATATGGAATTGAGCAAGCGGTCTACAGAACACATTGCAGAAGGCTGCTGTTGAGTTGGTTTCTGCCTACCATCGTTAGAATAAATGCACTTGTGGTTGACTGCCGCATCCCCCATCACAATGTAGGTAGTGTAAAAAATACCTACTGCTTACATGCTTCTTATGTCTCCTATTAAGGGCGCAATTCATATTACGAGCACATAAAAAGTGCGAAAGAGTATTGCAATTTTTGGTGAATATAACAGTCACCTGGAAAAACCGTAAACACTTGGCACAATTTCAATTTATGTACAGCAGCCAGCTAGATATGATTGCAAATCCGTCGTTGAAAGGAATGAATTTTCGCTTTTTGCGCATTTTAAAGTCCGCCATTAAACCTCTTTGGAGAGCAGAAACACATTTGGAGCTTTATTTTCATATAATGACTGTACCAAATGCAGAGCTTCGTATGCCTGTTTCATCTTACTTGCTGTGACCACTGTGGGTGTTTCCTCCGGCACCTTGACAGCAGTGGACGGCGCCTTTTCAGTGTCTGGACCTGATGTCGGAGCTGTGAATAAATGATGAGTCAGAATTAGAAAGAATAGCTCTCACATGAAAACAGACCCAATGAACATATGTTCAGTTGTAACGTTCAAAATCCTACGAGACTGCAGCTACATGAGACCACAGCTACATGATGATGATGATTTGGTGTTTAAGGGCGCACCAGCAATACGAGGCTATATCTTGCCCAGACTACAGCCACAACTTTCGAAACGTATCATATGTTAATGCTAAACGTTTACCCGAATCAATCCAGCGCAACAGCCTCAGTTATTATTCAAATGAATGCAAATTGAGATGATGACTGAATGAGACCTTGCATTTAATCTGTTACATATTACGATTTACGACACCACAGCTCCTCTAGCCTCAGAGAATGAATGGAACATATTTCATCAAACGTTTAAATCTATAGCCGTTTTCACGACGGCAATCTGGTACACATTTTGTCACATATGGTATATATTTGGTGCATATTTGGTCAAATTAGGTTCGTTGTGCTTCTTAGTAGTTATCGCTTTGGGTTGCATAGTTACTTGTTTAGTTGAATTGTCAACTTGTCAGACATTATTTTCGATAAAAACACTGACACAAATTTATCATATGAAAATCGGTTGTAAAAGGGATTTTGTGCAGATATGGTGAAGCTTGGTGTATTCGCCAGATTGCCCGTCAAAAAACGTTTTATATTCACTCGCTTTAGCAGCGACTGCGGACTTACCATATCTCTCAAGACGATTTAGAATGACGACCTCCATTTTCTCTCCGTCAGGTTTCGGCTGTGTTGACAGCAGGTCCTCTTCCGACGGCACTCCGTTGGCCGGGTAGAAGAAATATCTGCGAGCATATTCTATTCAGCGCGGGTAGGTGGTTTCAACGTATAACCTTTTACACACCTACTGTGATCGATTTTATTAGGAACGATATGGCATGCACAAACGTTGGCATATTCGAACGTCTGATGCATTCAAAAGTAGGATCTTATGTTTTTAGCACTATTTCATGATCAATTATGAACAATTAAAAAGGATAAACATTAAATAAACGCAATTAAAAGGTTTCTGCGAAAACGAATTTCGACTGTAGGATATTAGCAGTTCATTTCTCTATCAGAAAGAGGAAAGCTATGTAACATTATCATTCTCACCCGTCGCTGGTGATAATGATGCAGTAGATGTGATGTTCAAGCAGCCATTGGACAGAGTCTTCAACGGTCGGCTGTTTTATCATCAGCATCATCAGTCCCGGTAGCGTGCTCGGGTAGCTGATGAAGTACTTGGGCAGCTCCTCTGTAAGCATCAGATAGGGACGGAGAAAATTTAAGGGTCTCAAAGCAGAGGTGGATCCAGGGGAGGAGCTTTTGGCGCTAAAGCCCCCAGCCGAAAAATATATGCCGCCTGCGGAGCGCAGAATCGGGGAGCTGCAGCACTATATAAAAGCATCACTGCACTCATAAACGTCAGTGGAGGGGAAAACAGAGCGAAAAACAGACTTTAATTTTCACTATAGATGCCCCAGTCATACATTTTGCATCCCGCCGTAGATGGTGTCATGCCGCCCCAATTTCATTGGCCTCGGCCGTAGAGAATCCTCCGGCCGCCCTGTCTGAAAGAGGCCCAAGAATTTACTGACAGCACTCTCCTTGGAAAAGCCAAATAATACCGTCTGTAATTAAAATACTTTTGTGCCTTAACTATATGTCACATGTAATTTCTTATAGAGAATTGTATATATCGAGAATTTAATATTTATCATGCATTCACCAGCAGGCAATAAATATGTACCTATTCGTGAAAACGTACCGAACAAAAAAAAAAATCAAACTTACCACCATCCTCCACAATCGTGATAAAGCCGTCCGGTGTCTTGTTAACCAGATACCCTACAAAACAGAAATTTATGCATATGTCAATAGCCATTTCTCCACTTATATAACGGCCCCAGCTGTGTGCAAAAGAGCACAATGTCCACGCTCCAATTTGGCAAAGGGATGGGAAAATGCCTCACTCGCAGATGCTTCAGAAATCACTTTTAATGAGGGAACCGCTTCACCAAACGAATCAGTTTGCAATTGCATTAACTGGAATGCTCAGGAGAGAAGAAAGAGTTTGCACAATTAGGTGATGTTGGGCAATTTCACCTAATTGATCGACTCTTCTATAATGGTAGATGTAGGATTAGGCTTTACTCCAATATATTGGACGAAATAAAACATTTATCCAGCAGCATGAAATACTTAGTACTAAGTAGCTACGAATCCTAACACGTGTATCCTAGCTATGTACTTCATCGCGGCTCTCCCGACTCATTTACCTGGCAGCGGAGTGGTCGAAGGTGCAGCTTCGGTTGGGAGGCTGGTTGGAGCTGCAAACAGACAGTTCGTGATAAATTAATCAAAATCGCCAGCACAGGTATGGATATGAGATGTATTTTTTGCATATTTTCTATCAGTACCTAATCATGATTATATTTTGGTATTTCTCGTGCAGGATACCGGCATTGAATGAGAAATATCTGCTAAATTCAGGGCAGGTCACTTGCTTGACACGTTATCTTTGCATGTTATTCAACTTTTATCATTGGGTCTGAAGCTGAGACATAATTTTTGTAGCGTGGTTATACAGCGATTACTTCATACAATAGCTTATCAATAATATAAAACTCATAGATGTTTTCATGTCACTTCATCCCAGGTTCCAGAACCGCGGTTCTCTGCAGTCGTTGTATGTTAGTACCTGGAGCAGGTGTAGTCGTAGACTCGGGAGCAGGCTTAGTCGGAACTGCGGGTCAAAATGGCAACATCAGTGACTTGAAAATAACTTATTGAATATCATGAGAATATGAGGCATTTTTCACAGGAAATGAGACAAATACAATGTAATGCAATTTTCCTTCTGGAAAACTCAGATAAACATTGTAAAAAGAATCACACAATTAGGTAAGCAAAAAGTGTCAACAGTTTAACAGTTAGGTACGTCGTAATTGGCCACCATCCATCCAGAACCACATACATGTTTGAAAATGGAGATAGTCGGGAGTAGAAGAAAGCTGAAGAAATAGACAGACGAAGGCAGACGGACACACGGAAAGGAGCTGCGAGAGTGAAAGAGAGAGAGAGAGACAGAGAGAGAGAGAGAGAGAGAGAGAGAGAGAGAGAGAGAGAGAGAGAGAGAGAGAGAGAGAGAGAGAGAGAGAGAGAGAGAGAGAGAGAGAGAAAGGGGGAGATGGAAAGAGGGAGATGGATAGAGGGAGATGGAATGAGCGAGCGAAGAAGAGAAAGATGTTAACCATGAATGGTTAAATATTAGAAACATTTCTTTAAACTGATTGTTAAGAGCGTACCTGGTCGGGTCGTTGGAGCGGGCTCCACTTCTGTTGGAAAGAGGATCGCAGAACATGTTAGATGTCCTACAAATATGTAATGTATACAATCTATCATGTACTAAGATTTATGTGTAATTTATCGATGTGTTGAAGCCGTACAACATGCCACAATCTTTCACAATTTTTATATTAATCCTCGCCGGTATAGGGAGGGGAGGGGGGTCAAACGGACTCTCCTCTCGGTTGTTCGCAAATAAATCGCGAAAAAGAGACCGAACGCGACGACACTTTCAGTACCCTCGAGTTGATCAATTGTACACCTACCCTAAGAATTTCATGACCCTGACCCAATCTTTGATCTGTGACCTACTTTTCGAGACCATGTTTGGCCGGAATCGCGATTCGTCGTTATATGTCGGCTCGCATTAGCCGCGCGTTTGCAGTCTTTTCGTGGTTTCAAGCGTTCGAACATATGATATGACGCTGGTCCCATGCATTAGGGTGCAGGGTGTCAAGGTCACCTGAAGGTCAGGTCAGGTCATGAGCTCGGTTCACTTTTTCGAGTTTTACATGTTTCTAGGCCAGCTTTTAAAGCTGAATTCAAATTTGGCAACCATATAAACATTTACGAAGTGGTTTTGGTGCCGTTGTAACATGTTACGAAGCTGTCAGAGGCGGTTGCCACCTACTACGAATACCCGGCAGGACCCCTACTGGTTGACCTGACCTGACCTGACCCGACCTGGCCTAAATGCATTAAGACATCATCTGTGATGACAACTAACATGATATTCGTGATCAACACCCCGAGAAATGCATAGTAGCCACACCTTACGACGTTCTAGCAGGTCTCGATTTTCCCGACTTTTAGGTCATTGACCTAACCTAGAAGGTCAACCAATGACCTAGGACCTTAAAATTGGGTATCATCGCCTTCCTCCCATCACAAGCAACACGCTCATTTTTTTTTTCGCGAAGCTCTAGCTCGATCAGGGGCGAAACGGCAAGGGGGGTCCAACGGACTCCCCCCCCCCCCCCTTATACGTTCGCGGCTGGAAAAACACCGATACGGGCGAGGGTTGACAAAGTGTTAAACGTCTAGTAGACATTTCGTCTGGTCTGAAATATGTCGTATTCCGTATATAAAATGTTTTTTTCCTTTAAGCGCCCGAAAGACATCGGCGGTACGGTAGAAAATTATTATCCCGCACGTAGACAGTGTTTACAATTTCTTCACGTGCAAAGAGAGAAAATTATCAGATGTCGTTTAACTGATTTTTTGGATTTTTTAAACGGCTAGACCAGGGTATATTGAATTAGGGCTAGACATAAAAAACTGTTGAGCGTCTAGTAGACATTTCATCTAGTCTGAAATTTGTCGTATTTTTTACATAAATTGTAGGTATCTTTTACCTTTAAGCGCCCGAAATATACCGGCGGAACGGGATAAAATCATTCTACCGCTCGTAGGTAGAGCGGTTTAAACCTCTCGTAATTGCCTTCCCGGGCATCAATTTGACACCTTCACACACAATTTTAGGTCTTAGGTCACAATAGCACAGTGGTGATTTTTCCTATCTAGCACGTCTTTATTCGTAGAGGGCAAAACATAGGTAGTATTGTAGCCAGATAGTGCACAGATGTTGGCTGGTTTGTTCTGGTGAGAGTGTTACCTGTAAATGTGCATTATCAACATCTATCTTACCAGTAAAACGCCTTTTGGGCGAAGAACGAGCGGGCGACATAGTGAGCCCTGCACGTGCGGAAGGGCGAGAGGGTGCTTCCAACGGGCTTGCGCAAAGCACCCTTCTAACCAGTCGCTAGCGGTGTGCCAAATTTGAACGCAATCGGCCCAGCCGTTCCTGAGATCTGGAAGCGGCATTCTGCACGTGCGCACGTGCAAACGGGGTCCAAAATGACTTTTGCACGGCACCCTACTAACTGGTCCCCAACCGTGTACCAAATTTGAGCGCAATCGGCCCAGCCGTTCTCGAGATCTGGAAACGCCCCCTGCACGTGCGCACGTGCAGTAGCACCCTAACCGCAACACATGGGAATGCATTGCCTGGTGGGTGCCTACCTGTATGCCAAGTTTCAGCGAAATCGCCCCAGTAATTACCGAGTTACTGAAATGGGAACAAATTTGGCACCTCTTATTGTTGTATTTTGCACGTGCACTGGGGGTAACCCACATGCATCGAGAGTATCCTGTTTTGGGTAGAAGGGATGCTGCTACCCTACAAAACTTACCGCAAGTCAATCGCCCAAGCGGCTGCTGAGATATGAGCCTCTCAAAATCACTACTTTTGCAAAACAGCTTGAACACCCTTGACTTTTCACGTGGCACGTGCCACGACGGTCACTGAGATGTATCAAAAGTAGTCAATTACGGGGTAAAAGGGATGGGGCTACCCAACAAAAAAGACCGCAGGCGAATCGGTCCAGCGGTTGCTGAGATATAAGCCTCTCAAAAGCGTTACAGGCCGGGCCGGGCCGGGCCGGGCCGGGCCGGGCCGCTCATACTGAGATTTTTCCGTTATATTGAAAAGACTCACTTCGCTCGCTGCGCTCGCTCGCTCGTAACTATTTGAACAGGATCCGTCTGTTTGTCTGTCCGCCACGCCGTGTAGTGGGTTCAATTTAGCCGGCCTACAGGCCAGACGGTATATCGTAGGGGGTTGAAATTTGCACACCTTCTAGGTGACAGAGCGGGTCAGCGCCTTTTCTAGGTTCCGACTCGCTGGGGTGCACGGTTCGCGCGTGGGGCGCGCTGGAAGAACGCCAATGAAATTTTGATCGGTTCGTAGATCTTCATTGAGAGCCGGGGTCGACAAACTTAGTGAACTAAATGCATGCCGATCGGTGGCGGGTGCCTCGCATTGGCGGATGGGCAAGTTTTAATTTGAATAAATAGTGGGGAGAGATTGTGCAGATTTTCGTTGAATGGCAACAGTTTGTGATACGAGTTTGCAAATGCACCGCGTTTGCCGCAATGCGCCACAATTATCTCAGGGCGTCATTTTTGCCGCAAATCGCACAGTTTTGTCAAATATAGTCCGATATGGGTGCAATTTGGTGCCAAGATACATGAGAAGTATGCGCATCCGGCTGACCTTATCCTCACTTCTGTATGGAAATATGAAATTGCAAAAATAAATTACTGTATTAAAAATCGAGATATTTCGAGCACAGCTCTTCGTCGGTCGATTGTAATTATTTACACACATAACAGGCACACAATGTCGAATTCGTCTCAAGTTCTTCAGTAATGTCGCAGTAAGAAATTTAAATACACAGATCCCGTGCAAATTGATCACCCTAGTTCCTACCTTAAAAATATATCTAAACATAATTCCCCAGTTAAACTAGCAGTACATATATAGGTATCTTTCAAGAACCAATTCACACACATTTTTATATACATTATTTTGGAAGAAGCTGCCATGATGTAGTGTTATCGTTAATTTTGGGCCTGGCGTCTCGGATGAAGATGGATTCAGCGATTCTTCTATCCGCTTCGTCTTTGCATACACGCAGGATTTTGGCCGTCGCCGAGATGTCGCGTCGATCCATCTCAGGGTGCTTATGCAGCGCATGCTCTCCTAGGGGAGTGTCCTCTTCTCTGTTAATGCCGTTCCTCCGATGCTCGTTGTAGCGGAGTCTAACTGGCCTGCTCGTTTCTCCGATGTAGGTGTCGCCGCAGTGACTGCAGGTAAGTTCATAATATACCACGTTTTTGGTCGTGCACTTGGACTGTAGCCCCGCCTGGCATGAATGACAGCACCTTCGTCCCGAGGGGCAGGGGGCTGGGTTCAGTCGTGTCTTGACCAGTCGTTTCTTCAGGGTGTTGTTGGTGGTCCATGCTATCTCCACTGGTAATCCAGAGTTGATTGCAACCTTCTTCACCTGAGCAGCCACCTTGTCATTAGCGAAGGGCAGTCGGATATATGTGCCTTGCTTCTTCTTGTTCTGTTGTCGCTGATCTGGCCGTTCCCGTCGTTCTCTTCCTCTGTCTCTGCTTCTCTCTTCATGTTTCTTCATTTCCCTCCAACTGTACTCCTTGATCATCTTCATCGGATATCCATTACTGACAAACAGATGACGTATCTTCTCGAGCCCTCTTTTTCTTGCCGCTGTGTCTGAGCCAAGACGGATCGCCCTAGTGATCTGTGATGTGAGCACAGCCTTCTTTGTAGACCTGGCATGTGCCGAGTCATACGGCAGAATGATCGGTGCCGCCATGGGCTTGAAATACAGCTCCGTGCTGTACGAGCCGTCCTGTCGCACGCTTATCAGTGTGTCCAGGTATGGCAGCGTCCCGTCCTGGTCTGATCGCTCAATCGTGAATTGAATGGCCGGATGTCTCGAGTTGAGGAAGGCCAGATATTCAGTTAGCGCCTCGCTGCCGTGCGTCCAGAGACACCATATATCATCGATGTACCTAACATACATGTCTGGCTGAGGTCTGTCCACCTGCAGTGCCTCTGCTTCCAGCTTCCCCATGAACACTATGGCCAGAGATGGCGCAATCCTGGATCCCATGGCTATCCCATCAGATTGTTTGTAGAAGTTTTCATTGAATCGAAAGAAGTTGTTTTGTAGGCAGTGGGTGAGCAGGACTTCAACATCTTCTGGAACCAGCCCAAACAGATTCAGCTCGTTGATGTGTTCATGTATGAGCTCCATGACAGCTTCAATCGCTTCTTGGGTTGGCACGTTCCCGTAGAGATTTTTAACGTCAACGCTGAAAGCGATGCTGCCAGCAGGGAATCCTGTGGGATATTTTTCTTTTACTCTATCCAGAAATTCACCGGTGTCCTTCAAGTGTGCAGGTATGTACCTCAGCAACTGTGACGTAACTTGTTCTAACAACCAGCTTAGCCTATCCACTGGATTGTCAATCCCAGAGACTATAGGTCTCAATGGCTCACCTTCCTTGTGTGTCTTCGGTAAGCCATAGAGTTCAGCGCAGCGCGAGTGGTGAGGGCGGATGGCAGCTACAATGTCTTTGCCTATCTTGTCCTTGATTGTTTCAGATATAATTCTCT